AATAATCACTTCTCTAGATCTGCTGGCAATGCTCCTCCTAATGCAACCTAATGTGTCATTAGCCTTCTTGGCTACAAGGGCACACTGTTGACTCATATCCAGTTTCTCATCCACTGTAATCTCCAGGTTCTTTTCTGCCAAACTGCTGCTTAGCTAGTTGGTCCCCATCCTGTAACAGTGCTTGGGATTCTTCCATCCCAAGTGCAGCACTCTGCACTTGTCCTTGTTGAACCTCATCAGATTTCTTTTTGGACCAATCCTCCAATTTGTCTAGGTCATTCTGGACCTTATGCCTACCCTCCAACATATCTACCCTCTCACCCTAGCTTAGTGTCATCTGCAAACTTGCTGATGGTGCAATCCATCCCCTCAGCCAGGTCATTAATAAAGATGTTGAACAAAACCAGCTCTAGAACCAGTCCTTGGGGCACTCTGCTTGAAACTGACTACCAACCAGCCATTGAGCCGTTGATCACTACCCGTTGGGCCCAACAATCTAGCCAGTTTTCTATCCACCTAACAGTCCGTTTATTGAATCCATGCTTCCTTAACTTGCTGGCAAGAATATTGTGGGAAACCCTTTCAAAAGCTTTGCTAAAGTCAAGCTATATCACATCTACCGACTTCCCTATTTCCACAGAGCCAGTTACCTCATCAGAGAAGCTAATCAGGTTGGTCAGACATGACTTGCCCTTTTTGAATCCATGTTGACCATTCCTGATCACTTTTCCTCTTCCAAGTGCCTCAAAATGGATTCCTTGAGGATCCCCTCCATGATTTTTCCTGGGACTGAGCTGAGGCTGACTGATGTATAGTTTCTTGGATTGCCCTTCTTCCCTTTTATAAAATGGGTACTGCATTTGCCTTTTTCCAGTTGTATGGGACCTCTCCCAATCTCCATGAATTTTCAAAGCTAATGGCCAAAGGCTCTGCAATGACATTCCCTGAGTACCCTCAGATGCATTAAATTTGGACCCATGGATTTGTGTATGTCTAGTTTTTCTAAATAGTTCTTAACCTGTTCTTTCTCCACCAAGGGCTGTCTACCTTCTTCCCAAAATGAAGTACTCTGGCATCTGGCCTTGTCTGTGGAGACAGAGGCAAAAAAAAAAAAAAAAAAAGCATTGACTACTGTTTTTCCCATATCATCTGTCACTGGGTTACTTCCCTCATGTAGAAAGGAAGGGCACCACACCTTCCCTGATTACCCTCGTATTGCTAGCATGCCTGTAGAAACCCTTCTTGTTACCCTTCACATCCTTTGCTAGTTGCTATTTGCAATGCCAATTACGCTTTCACCTTCCTGATTGCTCTCCTGCATTCTCGAGCAATATATTTATACCTCTCCCTACTCACCTATCCAAATTTCCACTTCTTGTAAGTTTCCTTTTAGTGTTTAAGCTCGCCAAGGATTTCCCTGGTAAGTCACCCTGGTCGCCTACCATATTTACTTTTCTTACTGCGCATTGGGATTGTTTATTCCTGTGCGTGTGGTAATTAGGGTTGCCAGATGTCTGGTTTTGAACCAGACAATTCAGTATTTTCGCCTCCTGTCCAGTAAGAAAATGCAGAAAATACCAGACCCCTAAAATGTCTGGTACTTTCTCATTTTTTCCCAGCCAGGAGGCAAAAATCCCAGGCTGTCTGGCTTAAGACAGAGGCAGCCTGGCAACCCTAGTGCTTACCAGGTTTCGCAGGGGAGCTGTCTGGCCCCGCGCAGGGAGGCAAGATGGCGGGCGGCTGCCAGAAGCCTGTTAAGGCCAAAAAGTCTCATCACCTGTTTTTTAAAAAAGTGACGAGGAGTCCTGTGGCACCTTATAGACTAACTGAAGTGTAGGAGCATAAGCTTTCGTGGGCAAAGACCCACTTCGTCAGATGCATGTAGTGGAAATTTCAAGAGGCAGGTATAAATATGCAGGCCAGGATCAAGCTGGAGATGACGAGGTGGAGCCAATCAAGGAGGATGAGGCCCACTTCTAGCAGCTGATCTGGAGGTGTGAATTCCAAGAGAGCAGAAGCTGCTTTTGTAGTTAGTGAGCCATTCACAGTCTTTGTTTAATCCAGAGTTGATTGTGTCAAACTTAAAGATGAACTGTAGCTCAGCAGTTTCTCTTTGAAGTCTGGTCCTGAAGTTTTTTTGCTGCAGGATGGCTACTTTTAGATCTGCAATTGTGTGTCCAGGAAGATTGAAGTGTTCCCCTACAGGTTTTTGTATGTTGCCATTCCTAATATCAGATTTGTGTCCATTGATTCTTTTACGTAGGGACTGTCCTGTTTGGCCGATGTATATAGCAGTGGGGCATTGTTGGCACATGATGGCATATATTACGTTGGTGGATGTGCAGGAGAATGTACCAGTGACAGTATGGCTGATCTGGTTAGGTCCTGTGATGGTGTTGCTGGTGTATATATGTGGGCAGAGTTGGCACCGAGGTTTGTTGCAAGGATTGGTTCCTGAGTTCGAGTTATTATGGTGCGGTGTGTAGTTGCTGGTGAGAATATGCTTCAGGTTGGCGGGTTGTCTGTGGGCAAGGACCGGCCTACCTCCCAAGGCCTGTGAGAGCGAGGGATCATTGTCCAGGATGGGCTGAAGATCACTAATGATGCGTTGGAGAGGTTTTAGCTGGGGACTATAGGTGATGGCCAGTGGTGTTCTGTTGGTTTCTTTCTTGGGCTTGTCCCGTAGCAGGAGGCTTCTGGTGTTTTTTTAAGGGGCCACACTGGGTTTTTTTGGGAGGGGGGAGTTTTATGGTTTTTTTTTTTTTTTTTGATTAACAACTCTTGGGGTCTTTTTTTTTTTTGTTCGGTATTTTTTCAGAAACCATCTGGCAACCCTACTTGTAATGCACCCCCAGGTTCCTTACTGGGCATTCTTAGCACTTCAATTCACCATGCATCCAGGAGAGGGCTCCATGATTCCTCTAGCACAGGAAAGAAACTCAGCTTGAGGGGATGAAACTCTGCAGGGAGGTGGAGACGCTTTGTGAAAGGAGGAGCAGCAGGTTTGAGATAAGGATGTTAAGTATCGGGTAACTGACTAATTGAATGATGCATTTTCACATCAACTCGTTGATTAGTTGATAGGGTGCCTCCACCTCTGAAGTGTGGCAACAGCCTTAAGGCTTTGCTACACTTCAAAGGATTCCCCCACTGACCCTGGGCTCCATGCGGCACTGCCACTTTGAAATGCTGTGAGGAGCCTGACGCTGGGCTCCCGGCAGCGCAGCATGAAGCCCGGGATCAGCTGGAGCAACTGATCCTGGGCTCCACGTGACATTTCAAATCAGCAGTGCCTCACGGAGCCTGGGGTCAACTGGGGAGTCCCCAGCTGATCCTGGGCTCCATAAAGCGCTGCTGCTTTGAAATACCGTGAGAGGCCTGATGCCCGATGCCCACGGCATTCAAAACAGCAGTGCCACACGGAGTCTGAGGTCAATCCCCAGCTGACCCCGGGCTTCATGTGGTGCTGCCGCTTTGAAGTACCTGCCTCTTCCCCCCCCCCGTAGGGGGGGGGGGGGGGGGGAATGACTAGTCGACTATCCTATTGGCTATCCAAAAGGCATTTGCTTATTGAATAGTTGACAAGTCATTCACATCCCTAATGTGAGATAGCAGAGAGGGAACAGGCTAGGAAGGGATGGCTAAATATCAGGAAGACTGGGAGCCAGGGCCTAGGAGTAGGATACAGGCTTATCCTATTGGTGCCAGGAGGCACCTGGACTTTGTTACCTTCACATCCCTTGTTTAGATTGCCTTGCCCCAGTTGGTTGGATTGATAACTGCTGTGTTTATCTTTGTCTGTTTGTTTGTTGAAACTGTTAATCAAGTGTCCCCAGTGCTATTTCTCACAGTGGTAGTGAAACAAAATAGAGGTGGTTTTGGATGGGGAAGGGGAAATCAACTAAAAGCCAGAACCCAAAGCCCACAGGGCTTGGAGTACCTACAAAACTTGCTTTCCAGATAGAGCTATGCCCACCCAGTGACTGATGCACCACTACACACACTGACACCGTGCAGTGGGGTTGGTGACAGTGTGGTGAAACAGAATTCAGGGCAGAGCAACAAAGCGATCTGGGAAATGGAAGATTCATAAGGGGACTTATGAAGAAAGATTAAATATATATTTGGGTAAGCAGCACAAGGGGCTATAAGAAGTAATGAGAAGTAACTGTGGGGGTAAATATAGGGTGAATATTTCTGTATTGCTAACTTGCCTTCAAAAATCACGAGAGTGGCTTAAAAACACAAGATGGTAAAAATAAACAGGGTTCTTTTTATTTGTTTTGTGGTTTTTGAGCCTTTAGGGGTTGTGTTTGTTAAGCTTTTCATTTTAACCCTGAGTTCTTCTGTAAATGCTAGCTGACAGTCAAAATAATCAAGGGAGGCTGGGGCTTCAAGAAAAATACTACCTATTCATCATGAGATTCACCAGAAAAATTACTAACGCTGGCAAGAAGGTAAAACAGCCTGGTAGCCAGATCCGTGAGGTAGGGAGCTTCCTGCCGTATCAGTACATTTACATGAAGTGGGTCTGGCCCACGAAAGCTCATCATCTAATAAACCATCTTGTTAGTCTTTAAAGTGCTACATTGTCCTGCATTTTGCTTCAAGTACATTTACATTACATTCAATAATAGAATAGAACCCGCGAACAGCTGCTTTGGCAAAACTGGGTGACCAGGTAGGTCCGCCTTTTCTCTCTGCGCTCTCTGCTGAATTGGAAGAGGCGGGGCAGGGGATGCCCTGATTCTTCCAGGCTCCGGCAGATAGTCTGAGCTCTGCCGGGTTCCCCTCCGCCCCCACGCTCCCAGCCTTCTGGTCTGTTGTTGTCCGCTGTGTTCATGAACCAGGGCCTGCCCCGCCCCGCCCCTTGCTGTGACTCTGTGTGTGCAGCGACATTGGCCCTGGGCTCGCATTTCTGGCTACCTTTCTACGTGCCCCTCCTCCTTCCTCCCCTCCTCTTGCCGCTTACCCCTCCCTCTGCCCCTCCCCGGTCCCTCCTCCCTGCCCCCCGCCGGCGGTGCCCGCCCGGCGCTTTCCAGCTGGAGCGCTCTGGCGGCTGAGCTGGTGCTGCTGCTGCGGCGGCGGCTGGTGCTGCGCACAATGTCCGCGCGAGGCGGCTTCTACAAGCAGGAATTGAACAAGACGGTGTGGGAGGTTCCCCAGCGCTACCAGAACCTGACCCCGGTGGGCTCCGGAGCCTACGGCTCCGTGTGGTAAGTGCGCGCCGCGGGAGAGCTCGGGCCCCTGCCGGGGAGACAGCTCCGGGCTCCCGCCCCGGCCAGCGAGAATTGCCCTGCTCGCCTAGTGGCTGGGGGCAAACAACTCGCGGGAGCCCCTTTGCACGGCGGGTCGCTAGGCCTGGGTTGGTATCGGCGAGCCCGGGGTGGGCGTGTTTGTGAAACGCCCAGGATGCGGGGAGGGGGGGAAGGACTCTGTCAATGGGCTGCTCTGTGTGGTCGATGCGGGGTAGTCAAGCGGGGCTGGAGCAGTTTGTGCAGCGGGGCTGCTGAGGGCCATTGATCCAAACTCTAATCCTTGGGTAGGATGGAAACCACTTCAAGCCAGGAAGCGCGGCAGCAATTCCAGCGCCCCTAGTTAAGCACCTCTGGCCCATAGGGTCTTTATATGAGTATCTGCTATGGACCCAATAATGCTATAGGCTTGCTCTTCCTCTCTGTACGATGCACAGGGGGTTGCTCTGTGTGTGACTTCCTCTTCCCCGCCCCCACTAGGGCTAGGAAGGGAGAGGAGAGCTGGGGTTGAGCGCTCACAGTAATGTTGAGCTCTGGAATTCCTCATGGGTTGCTAAGGGTAACCTGGGTCATTCCTTCTGCTGAAAAGAGGCTTCCCCTCTTTTCCCCTGTGGATTTAAGACCTTCCTGATTGCTAAGCAGCATGCATGAATTAAAGTTTGCTAGGATGATTCTTTTATTCACACTGCAATTGAGGGGAGGGCAGATCTGGTGCATTCATTTTAGGGGGTGGAGGTAAAGGTGACTGGTGCTATCTTTCAAACAACTTAATATTGCTCTCTTTAAATAAAACTTTAGGTGAGTAAATCACCGGATCCACTGTTTTCCCCCTTCAGTAGCCTTCTCACTAGTTGATATAACACTGTTGCATCACCTGAAACCTTCACCTAAAATACCTCAAGGCTCATTTAAAACTGTTTCTAGGTGCAGGGAGACAATGACGAGTTTGTTTACAGAGTCTATTCATCTGTCAAAGAATCCTTCATGTTATGTGCACATTTAGCTGAATTAAAATTGCAACACTGCCAAGGATCTTGCAGAGTCATTGTCTCTGTGAATCAGAAATAAAACCTGGCTGTTTCTTTAGAATGAGGCAGAAAAAACTAAGTGTGTTAGAGCTCAGAGATCATTTTCATGAATAGCAAAGTTCTTGTTAATGTTATGAAAAACTTCACTGTATTTTGTCATGCCTGTTTCAGGGATACTTTGTGACCCATTGTCTTGCCTGCAATTCACTTGCTCCATATTTGTGTCTAAATAATACCTGTACTCACATTTCTCTGAGTTATGTGATTTTTGACAAACAGATTAATCAGAGGGCCAGCACAAAAGTGGAGAACAAAGAAATAAATAGAATGATATAATGTTAAACATTATTTGAGGTGACTAGTATGATATATGGAAAAGCACACAGGGATCAAATTCTGCTCTGATTTATAATCCAGATAGCCTCATTTGGCCAGATTCAGTTGTTGGATGACTATATGTACATTTGTAAAGCAGAGTTAGAAATAAAGGGTGGGGGAGATCAGATGGTTTTGTGCTGGTATTGCTCAAAATGGGCTTGGTATAAAACAAATGATTTGCAGCTCCTTTTGCTAGATATTTATTTAAATGCTTGGATGTTGTACTGGATTGAAAATTCAATCTGTGACCCACAGAGATTAGTCTCCACTCTGAAGAAACATTACAAAGCATATAGTTTCAGAAGGGTAGCCATGTTAGTCTGTAACTGAAAAAACAACGAATAGTCATGTAGCACCTCAGAGACTAACACGAATATAGATGCTTCGGGGGGTAGCCAAGTTAGTCTATTACAGAAAAAAAACAAAAAATGGTCTGGTAGCACTTTGTAGACTAACAAAACATGTAGATGGTATCATGAGCTTTCATGGGCACAGCCCACTTCTTCAGATAACTGGAGTTAAGGGGTCCAGGGTACAAATAAACAGCAGAGAAAGAGAGGGGATGGGAAGGGAAAGAAGGAAAAAATAGGACAAAATATTGTAAGTTAGAGTGCCTGGGTTAAATGAGGTACTGCAGAACTATTGTTTAAGTTTTTTTCAGCTATAGACGAGGGTGTAGAATATAGCGGCTTATCCAGATCAGGCCTTGATTTGTTCAGGCCTTGATTCCAGGTGTCAAACTTGTAAATGAAATCAAGTTTTACAGCTTCTCTCTCAAGTTGGGTTTTTAAATTGCTTTGTAATAATATAGTCACTTTTAGATCCATTAGTGAGTGCCTGGGCAAGTTAAAATGTTCCCCAACAGGTTTCTGTGTGTTACCATTTCTAATATCTGATTTGTGTCCATTAATCCTTTGTTGTAGAAACTTTCCAATTTGGCCAATATACGTGGCAGAGGGGCATTGCTGGCACTTGATGGCATCGATCACATTGGTGGGTGTACAGTTATATGAGCCTCTGATGTGGTGGCTTATGTGGTGATGTCACTTGCATAGATGTTTGGACAGAATTAGTACCGGATTGATTGTAGGGGTGGGTTCCTGGATGAGTATGGTGGTGATGTGCTGCGTGATTGCTGGAAAGAATATGAGGTTAGTGGGTTGTCTGTAGGCGAGGATTGGCCTGCCCCTTCAAGGCCTGTGAGAGTGAAGGGGTCATTTTCCAGGACAGGTTGTAGGTTGTTAATGTACTGGAAGGGTTTAAGTTGGTGGGAGGTAGGTTCAGTGGTGTTCTGATGTTTTCTTTGTTGGGCCTATCTTGAAGAAGCTGATGTCTGGGTACTCGTCTGACTCTGTCAGTCTGTTTTTTCAATTCCCCAGATGGGTATTTAAGTTTTAAGAATGCTTGATATAGATCCTGTAGGTGTTTGTCTCTATCTCTGGGACTGCAGCAAATCCAGTTGTATCTTAAGGCCTGGCTGTAAACAATTGATTGGGGAATATGTCATGGATGGAAGCTAGAGGCATGTAGACAAATGTAGCAGTCGGTAAGTTTCTGGTGTAAGGTGGTGGAAATGTGGCTGTCGTGTAATTGTACTGTAGTGTCAAGGAAGAGGATCTCATTTGTGGACTGGTCCAGGCTAAGGTTGATGGTGGGGGTGAAATCTCTGTGGAATTCAAGGGTTTCATTCCCATGGGTCCATATGATGAAAATGTCAATGTAGCATAAGCAGAGTACAGGTGCTAGGGGGCAAGAGCTGAGGAAACGTTGTTCGAGGTCAGCCATAAAGATGTTGGCATATTGTGGGGCCATGCGGGTGCCCGTAACTGTGTTGCTGACTTGAAGCTATTAGTCCCCAAATTGAAAATAGTTGTGGGTGAGGACAAAGTCACAGAGCACTGTAACTAGGTGTTCAGTGTTGTCATCAGGTATAGTGTTCTTGATGGTCAATAATCCATCATCGTGTGAAATGTGGTTATAAAGAGCTTCTACATCTATGATGACTAGCATGGTGTTTTCAGGAAGATTACTGATGTTATATAGTTTACTCAGGAAGTCGGTGGTGTCTCAAAGGTAGCTAGGAGTAAGGATGCTAAGGACTAGGAGTTGACTAGTTGCTCCCCCTCTCCTCCTTTTCTGCCTCTATTACGTAGAAGCAACAAAGGAGAGGGAGAGGGGATACTTCAAAGCAGCAGTGCTGCATGGAGCCTGGGATCATCTGGGGAGCCCCTACCTGACCCTGGTCTGTGTGTGGCATTTCCGCGGAATCCGGAGTTAGCTGGGGAGTCCCCAGCTGATCCCGGGCTCTGTGCCATGCTGCCGCTTTGAAACCGTGCCGCTTTCCCACTGTGGACTCTTGTACATTTCATAGTCGGGCACGCTGTGTGCAGCCCAGGGTCAGTGGGAAGTCCTGCTGACTCTGGGCTCCACTGGGACGCTTCCTCTTTGAAATGCACAAGAGCTCCTGCTGTAAGTGTGCCAGTGCCTGAGATGATGGGTCATCTGGGATTTGCAGGTTTGTGGATATTGGGTAGCAGATAGAAAACTCTTGGTCAGGGATTTGGGAGGGTGTTTGTGTAGATTTTGTCCTGAGTTGTAGCAGGAAGTTTCATGAGCAGGTGGTTTAGGGTTTGGGGTTTTTGGAATTCTTTAGTGGGATCAGAGGAGAGAAGCCTGTAGAGTCTGGTGTTGGTGAGTTGTCTGGCAGCCTCTTGTTCATAATCTGTTCTGTTCATAATAATTGTGTGTTGGAAATATTCCATAAGACAGTGGCGGTGAAAATGAGCTTCCAGATCTCCACAGAACTGAATCATATTTGTGGTGGAACAGAGAGAGAGTCCCCGAGATAGGATAGATTCTTCAACCAGGCTAACAGTGTGGTAGGTTAGGTTGACAATGTGAGTTGGGGTCCCATAATTGAAATACAGTAAACTTCCGATAATCCGGCACCTTTAGGACCCAGGGGGTGCCGGATTATCAGATATGCCGGACTGTTGGAAGGGGGGATATGAAGGGTCTGGGGTGGGGTGGGATGCCACCCCAGACCCCTCATAGCCCCCCCTTCCGATAGTCCAGCTCTGCCCCAGGCATCCCCAATTCAGCAGCTGCTGGTCAGTTTCAGCAGCGGTTGAATTGGGGACGCCTAGGGCAGAGAAGCTGGTGAGCTGCCGGGTTGGTTCTGTAGCGCTGCTCCTCGGCGCTGCGGGACCAACCCAGCAGCACCCCAGCTGCTCTACCCCCGGCGTCCCCCAGTCAGCTGGTCAGTTTCAGCAGTGGCTGAATCGGGGAAGCCGGGCGCAGAGCAGCTCCAATTGTCCGGCAGCCGGAGCACTTCAGGGTTCCTGATGGTGCCGGACCATCAGGAGTGCCAGAGCATTGGATGCCGGACCAAAGAAGTTTTACTGTATTCTGAGGCATATAGGAGTTTGGATAGTTTATTGTCCTTTTTCTTCTGATGGGAGGTGAAGCATATAGAAATCCAACATTTTGGTGTAGGGTTGCCATTGGACTTCAGAGTGTACGAGCACTGCACAAAGAACTTCAGTGGAGGCTTTA